ACTTAGTATTTTGCCCAAGTGTGTCTGTACATGCATACTTTAATTTGTGTTACCACATCTACTTAAAGAGTCTAGAACACCTTTTGTAATAATTTGGAATACGTTTGATTGCCACTAGAGGGTAGAGAGTGAGCTAATGACATCCAAGTCAGAGGAAACTGGTCTTGCAGGCTGGCCTACTCTGTCCTGCCAAGCAAGAACTCATTTTACAACCTTTTCTTCACCTCTCTAAGGAAAATAAGTTGCAATTTAAATACAACCAGCCCAGTGTTCGATGTTACCTTAGAGATCAATTTGAATCTGTAAGGATAAAACCTTAGCTGCTTTGAAGTTGGTGGCAAAACTCTGCCTTGTTTACAGTGGAATCAAGAGTTTGCTGTGAATAAGATCAAGCAGTGTGTTTAAGCTGTATATAAACACTGGAATGGCCCTGGAATGCAGTTATTCTCAGGATACTGTGCCAAATGGAAAAAAAGTGCTTGCTGCATTTGCGGTAACTCGTTACTCCAGATTGTTTTTTAGCAGTGGATGATTTCTTTATCACTTTTGATTCAAATGGAGGTTGCCATTGTCCATTTTCACTGTGGATTATGTTCTCCTTTGCTTTGCTGACTGCAGAGCCAAATCCTAATCCAAAGAACTGTCTTAATATTGCAAGGACAACAACAGGAGGAATGTTCTTGAGTTGCTTAATGACAACAGAGTGATTAGACAGCAAACTTTGGAGTCAGTGTAGGTAGTTGGTTGTGTGTGGTTTTGTTGTTCTAGGATGTATCTCCCCCCAGAATTCGCGCTGTCATTTTGACATGGCATAATTATTGCTCTTTATAAGCCTGGACTGTTTCATAGTGGCTGTGGGTTTCTTGTTCTCACTGCAGTCATTTAGCCTGCGATGAAGAGAGAGTGGAGGAGGCAAAGCTGCTGGTGTCTCACGGTGCAAGCATTCACATTGAGAATAAAGAAGAGCTGACCCCACTGAAAGTGGCAAAGGGTGGCCTGGGAGCCATACTTAAAAGGATGGTGGAGGGCTAGTGGGGGCCTCCCACCTGAGCCTCTTTCCTGTTGCACTTATATTTAAGACTGCAAACTTCGTATTTTGATATTTCAACCAGGATGTTGTGTGTGGCTATCAGCATGGTAATAAAATGTTTTTATTGAAGCTGTCCTTCAAGTGCAGTGCCAAAACACCTGTTTGTACTTCCTGTTAATTAAATAGTTCACTGATTTTAAAGTATTTTTTCAATATCTTGCAGTTTCCTTTCAGTTTACAGTACGATCTGTATAAACGTGATCATTCTTTGTATGTCAGATCTCAGTTTAGAATTAGTTCTTTCAAGCAACAGGACCAAAAATGCTTTAAAAATTTAAAGCCAATTTCATTTTGGAAGCTTGTCCTAGAGTCTTTGTTTTTTCCCTTAGCCTTTGTGATTTGAATGTGGGATTGTATTTAGTTTTTGTGGGTACGAATTGTCTTTCTTCAGATGATTCTAAACTACACCTTATCTCCCTTTGTAGAATGCAGTTTGCTCAGTTGCTTAGATAAATGTATCCATTTTTGTTACTCTTGGTCTATTCAAGTGAGATCTGAGTGTTTAAAGCTTTTTTTGTTGTTACTGGTTGTTCTTCTGTTTCTCTGAATCTTTAAATACATGTATTTGATGAAGTGCACTGGATTGCTTGCAGAATGCAGCAGCAGTTTCAGGGTTACCTCTGCAAATATAATGTTTTATAATGGATGGCTCTGGATAATTCTCTGGGATATACTTCAAATTTAATGTTTTTTCCTCTTGCTCCTTTTGTAGGTTCCTTTTTCTGTTCTCTTTGACTCCCATATGCAGCACTGACACTTGCAGTTTACCATCTTGTTTATAACCAGAAGCATGGTTTAATCTCTATTTACTCATAGCAGATCCTGATATTAAGTTATTAGAAGGCAAAGCTAATGAGACAGAGTCTGAAAAGTGACCTGTTCTGATGTTGGTAAGATCACTTTTGGCACCAGTGGATAGATTTCCCCTTGAACAAATGATGCTGATAAAATTCTGTGAAATAAAGAACTTTCCTAAACCACAGTCTTTGGTATCATAAAACTTTATTGAACCTGTATGTAACAAAACCAATGTTTTCTAAATAGCTTGTACGCTTGGGATGTGAACAGCAAATGAGATGAAACTCTGCCACCCATTCCACAGTGTGGGAATGCAACATGTTTGATCTTCAGCCTCAAGGAAAGGTTGAAATGCAAGCTGGCAGTTTCTACAGTTTGACTTGTGGGGATTAAGGTAATGCAATTTATTTTGATAAACGAGACAGAAACAACCAAACAAATATCTTCACCATTGACTTAAAATGTATCTTAGAATACAAAATGCAGGTGAAATTTCACTAAGGGGACACATTGAGAGCAGGAGGGATAACTTGCCTGTACAGTAAGCTCTGGCCATCCAGATCTTGATTGAAGGAGGAACCTGACTGAGTAAATGTTTCTTGGGTGTTGCACAGGCATTGCTGAAAATTTGATTTGAGAACAGCTGAAGTTAAGAGTTCTGTGTTCATCCTTGGTCTTTGTGTAGCAAAAAACCCTGCCACAGCTCTGTAGCTTTGTAAATACACTTCCCTAGGAGATGGTAGCTTGAATGTTGGCTGAGTATCTGGTTTCCATGTTAATGATCCCTCCTCCCACAGGAGAAGATAAATGGGCCATGCAGCAAAGACTGTTGGAACATCTAAGGCAAATTCTGAAAAATGTTTCTGTATCCTGTGTGGCTCTGCAGGGTTTTAGAGTTACACACTGTGGATCAATACCTAATTTGCATTGTGCTTTGCCCAGAGCATCAGCAGAAAGCTAGGAACAGTGCCCCATCCTTCTTAATAAACTTTTACAGATTTTATAATGAGAACAAACATCTGCCAGAAGGCTCACAGAAACACCTCAATATGTTAAGAAACTCTGAATAAATGTTCTTTTCCTTACCTTCCTGCTCCCCCCAGCAACCTGTTTTGTTTCTTATTTTTGCCTTTTTGTTTTTAATACTATCTATTACACACTGATGGGTAGAAGTATGAGAGGAATCATTGGTCAAGGACTTGTGTTGAATTTTTCTTTTGTTTTATATAAAAACATTAACGTAACTTGAGCAGTTTCTACTTTTTGAACAAATATAAAACCTGTGATGTTCTAGGAAGATTGTATTAGCTATAGAAGGTAATTACAACTTCACCCACATAAGCTCCTATCTTACTGCAGCAAGTTGTGTAAGGAATACCTGGATAAATTTGTGTAGGTGAGATTAAGGAAAGATTGGAAAAAATATGGTAATGATCACATAACATAGTCCCCTTTTCAATCACAATAGTGCTGTTGCAGAGATGTGGAAGTTGGAAAGGTGTTGCAGTAAGAAAAATGTGGCTAAGATGCATATATACAGAAGAAAGCTTTAGAAGAACTAATACAGCTATAGTGGTAACATAAAGACAGTTGTTTATAGTTTCCCATGAAGGGTAAAAGAAAACTTAAGAATATCAGATAAGAAATTATTTTAAATTATTGCTGCTGTCAGCCAAGTCGTGGGCTCCCTCAGACTAATAATCGATTTGGAACAAATAAGGGGAAACACCTTTGGTAAGAAATAGCACCCAAACAGGAGTAGGGAGTCTCTCTCTTGCTGTTTCTGAGCATGTTTAATGTCATCATTCTGCATGTTGACACAACTTTGGGTGTCAATATCAGACTTTCTCAGTAAGCTGCTCAACCCAGATTGAAGGACATGAGTTACGGATTTTGCTTGGCACAGTTGCCACAAAAGTCAACAAGAGCTGCCTGATTAAGGAGATCATGACTTAAGGTTTACCCTGGATATTTAGGGAAGAGAAGAATGTGAGGATCCACCAGTAAAATGTGGCAGTGTTGGTATTAGCAAGGGTTTGACCCTCACAGTCTGGCACAAGCAGTTTTTAGCTAAAATAGTATAAGAACACCTTAAGTGTCCTTTTACTCTGGAATGAAGCTAAACACTACAACACACATAACAAAGATAAATATTTGAAAGCCAGAAAACTGTGTTGGAAAGGACAAATGACTCTTAACTAGGACTTCACGCCTTACATCTTCTTTAAATTTTGCCATGTTTTTTCTATTTTTCTTTTTTTCCTTCTTTTTTTCCTTTTTTCTTTTTTTTGGTTGTTTTTGGTTTTTTTGGGTTTTTTTTGGTGCTCACTTTTTTGATAAACATATTTAGAACTGTAGGAACTGAACCTGAAAATGTTAGCCCAGAAATTTTAAAGATGAATGTTGCACATGTCTAATGTTTACAGGCTAGGAACAGTCAGCAAGGGATTTATGCATGTTAGGTCCTATAAAAGATTTAAGTGCCAAAAAGTTCCAGATCCCTGAGCCAGATACATTTTTGTGCAGTGCATGGGACTGAAACCAGTGTTTCCCTGAGTCAGCGAGGACCTGCCTCGCGTAGTTCAGAACAGAGCTACTGAGGCTGTGGGTCTGTATTCACCTGACCCACCGTCCCCGAGCTCTTCTGAAAGTAGGTATCTTTGGAAAAAGCTCTTTGAAAAACTGGGTTTGTGTAACCTCAGAAATGAGGCCCAGAGAGAAGAGGTGTCTGGTGATCAACGTGTGTGTGGTTCAATTCCTTTTTCTCCTTCCAAGAGAGTGGTCATTAATTGACTGTTGGCTATCGGTGTGCTTTGCACTACTTACCCTTCCTCTTGATGCCTTCACCTAGAGAAAACAGGCTGTTACATTGGGCTAAAGAACCAGAGGAAAAGTAGCATGAGTTTGTTGCTCAGTAGGTAGGACAGTTGCCTGGAAATAGATTTAAATCATCTCAGGCAGAGGAAGCAATCAAAACTTGTGTGCTGGATAGTAGAGAGTATTACTTCTAAGTTTTGAAAGCAGCTGTATTGCATGTCATGAGGAATCTGATGCTGTGCCTGCCTATTGGAACAAGCCTTGCAAGGGATTTAGATTTCCAGCTCCTGTTCTGTGGAAAACAGTCATTTGATGTCTGAACTGGGTACCTGAATGCCAGTTCCATTAAACTGAAGACCAGAACTGCTGAGACACAACTCTGGAATGCTGGTGCCTTGGGAACTTTGAGCCAAGAATGTCACTGTTAACAAAATGTATTCCGTGTCAGGCAGCAATAGGGTAAAAGTTTCCAGGATCTTTTGTTTGGTTTTTTTTTCCAATTTAAGTAGAATTCAGACACACAAGATTTCATTGGCCCAGGTCTCAACATCTGTTTCTGCATTCTGATGACATTGATGTGACTTCTTTTTACTTCTGACATACAGAATCAGTTCCTTTAAACACTGCAATGTACTGACCATGAGGATTGTTCTTGGTACACAGGGAATAAGTTGGCCAACACTGTTTCTGTAGAAGACTGCTGTGGTTCAGAACTGTGTGGATACACACAGCATTACTGGTAGTTGACTGGAAAGCTCTTACTTTGACAATTTCCTAATTAGTTTTGCAAAATAGGTTGGATAAATGTGGATGATAGTCTTTTTATGCTTATATTTTTGTACAGTTATGACTAGATAATAAAAGAAATTTGGTTAACTTTAAAGGCCAAATCTTCTGCTGTTCACATGTAGCAGACCCTTTTCAATCTCCAACCCAGTGGTTCACAATGGAAATGCCCATTTAAGATTTAGTCACGCTTCTATGTTAATTCAATGACAACAATTTTTGTATAAAGGGGTCCAAAGCTGACAAGGAAAACTATTCAAACTCTAGGCTGTTTCTTCTTTTTCTGCTTCTTGCTTCTCATTGTTTTCAGGTGTTGCAGGGGCTGTTGTTTCATCACCACTCGGATATTCCATTGTTGCATTGCTCGATGGAACTGTGGTCGCAGGAATGTTTTCTTCATTAGGTACCTGAACATAGTCTGCATTGGATTGTTTCTGAGCCATTTCTCTGCAGGAAGACAGGATTAGGATTGTGATTTCACACATGTCGAAATCCCATGTACACTAGAGTCTCTTAAAAGGATGAACCTTTGTATTTGCTGTCTAAACAGTAACTCCCTCATTATTATGACTGTGTAAAAAGGTAACAACATCCCTGCTGCTGAGACGGAGAGAGTGACAGAATATTAGCTAATAAGACTTCTACATCACTGATTTAAGTGATGCCATTAGAATAAAATGAATTTTAGTACGTTTAAATGCTATGCCAGGAAAGTGGAAAGGGAAACTGAGCAATGGCAAACAATGTCTGAGGAGGGGTAGCAAAACATACTGCTTGGTGTGAGCTTTCTGGGAAATTCCATGCAGATGTGGTATCCCATTGAAGTACATAAAAATAGAGTGCAGTCAGAAAAGAATTATGGAAAGGCTGAAATCTAGAAAAATATTCTAAAATATATTTGGTATTTTAGAAAATACTAGAAAATATTTTTAGTAACAAGTATTCATTCCATTTGTGTCACCAAAACAATAATAAACTCCCAATATTGAAGCGCTGTCACATGTAAAAAATATCAGGTGCTAGTGGATTAATTCAATGCAGTAAGATTTATTAGGATCTGAGCACAAAATTAAATGTTAATGCTACATCAGTTGAAAGCAGAAATGAGGTGCATGAGTGACTGGCCACTGGTCTGGGTTAGCAGAATTCCATATCAGGAAGTCATAGCCCTGTGCTACAGAAAGTAACAATTTTTTCCTGGCCTCAGCTGCATGTATGCATTTAGCATTTAACATCATGGGGCTAAATACATTCTGTATAGCACACAAGATTATCCCTATTCCGAAGATTTGGCCATTTAAGGTAAAAATGAGCAACCAAAGCACAGAGGAAAAAACATCTCCAGAGCAGGATCAAAATGGACGTTCTGGGCTCCATTCTGTTCCCTAAACCTTGTGTTTCCTGCGATTTGAGATGCCTTGGAGTATCCCGAGTGTGTGTCCTGTAATTTCAGATAGCACTGAAATGAGCCCTCTGTGTTTAAATCCTGGTAAGTTTGCTGAGGCGACCCTTAGCTGCTGTTTCTTTTTTACTCCCTCCACCCACTGTTCACAGACCCCATTAACTTTTAAATATTAAGAGCTGATTTTCTAACTTGCCACTTTTAGTTTGTGTTGTTTAAAAACATTTACTTCACTATTTTAGACACTGGTAAGTGGTAGCTGCCTGTTAACATAGGGAAGAGGGTAATGGCAACTTCTGTTATGGGAGCAACAGGGGAAAAGTCCCACAAAAGCAAATGTTCTCACTCTGGAAGTTTTCTCAACACTTGTATTATTTACCCTTCAAAAATATTTAGAGTAATTGCATTTCACTTTAGTTCTGGATTACCAGGAGTGCTTTATAGAAATATTTGTCTTAAAATGAAGAAAACAGAAACTCTTACTGCATCTCATTATTTGAAGACTTCCTATTTTTTGCCTTCTTGGTTAAGACCCAGACGATAATGCAAATGATAGCAGCTGCCAGGATAGCTCCAATTAATGCTCCAGCAACAACACCACCGTCTGAATCTGGAAAGAAACAAAAAGATTACTTGACTTTACTTTTAGAAGTAGTAATATAGCAAAATCCCATGGAAATTTAGTGCAAGAGCTTTTAGCAGAAAGAAGGCATTGGATTCAAAGAACTCTTTCCGGGGGGAGGCCAAAGGAAAGTGAGAATTATGCTTATGTGATCTTTGTTGCCTCCTTTCTTGTTGGTTAGCTCCCTATCCCAACAAACTCTCTCTTTATGTCTGGCTATGGGAAACATTAGGCTGTAACACTGCAGTAGGTAAAAGCCTTTGCTCTTCAGTCCTTGCAAACACATTCTGAAATTCAAGTTGCCTTTATTTCTGCCTTTCAACCGAGATATAAAATGTGTACTCTGATCATTTGTGAGCCTCCAAAGCCTTTTATTTCCACTTCAGTGCAGCTTCCAGCTCTGACCTGCTATTTTCAGGTCCACTGAATCATTGAGTGACCATTTCATGGACATCTCTCATGGCTGGTTGTACAACATAGGCTTGGCTCTTGTTAAATATTACTGGTCCTGTGAAAAATATACATGCAGGTGTGGTTGACCACTGCTTGAGAACACTCAGGATAAGGTATTTTTCTGTGACTGGAGTATTTTTAGCCAGTAGTTACATCCACAGTGCTCCAGTCCTTGTACTACCACGTTTCAGTGATGGTTTTAATTTCTGGGCTAAGGGGACCTCAGTGAGACTGGTGGCTGGAAGACATTGCTCAAAACTCCATGTCTGTCCATTCTCAGTAAAGGCTCTGCAGTCAGAACCAGGTCCAGCTCCTGCTCCCTGTGGGAATTAAGCTGGAGATGTTAAACCAGTTTTCTAGGTCAGTGTAAATTCTGGGCACGCCTGGATGAAAACTCCGGAGCTCTCCAAATCCTGTTCTGTTCTTACTTGAAAAAAAAAAATCTATGCTTCAAAGTTGTTAGAGCATTCTCCTGCAAGCTGTGCATGTCCTACATCAGAGGTGTGACTACTTTTGTGCATTAAACTCACGTTTTGCTGTTAGGTCAAGCTCACAGGTGCTGTTCCCCAGGACATTGCTGGCTACGCACCGGTAATAGCCAGTTTCAAAGGTGGTGAGATTGCCAATGTAAAGAATGCCAGTGCTTGGATCTGTGACAAACAGGGAACAGGTACAAGTTACTGTTTGTATTCTGTGGAGGCAAACAGTTCTCTGTAGTTGGTAACACTGAGAGCTATTCAGAGATTAGAAACAGGGTTCTCTGATTATTTGGTTATTTGGGGGTCTTTTCTATTCTTTTAATAAAAAACATTTGTCTTCCTTGAAAATTGCTCCAGTGGATTCTGCAAAGGCATAAATATTTCTCCCATTTTAACAATTTAAAGTAATGGCATAGATAAGACTTCAACATGCCACACATTTTTTTATTAAATAGGAAAAGTGTCTTTGTTTTTGACAGCTGTTGGCCAACTTGAATAAGTAAAAATACAATATTATGACATTCACCATCAGAAGAGGAGGATAAATTTTAATTAGCCTATGTGATACACAGTGTTTGAAATGTTGGTACCAGGGAATTTCAGGTCTTGGACACAGTACAACAGTCCTTTAGTTACGCACTAAATTGTTCAGTCACAGGCTTGAGGGTGTTCTCCTCCACTTTGTACCAGCGGTAGGTGGGATGAGGCAATCCCTCTTCACATCTGCATAGGAGGTAGATTAGATGCCCTTTTTCAGGTGTTCCTTCTACTTTGCAGAAAGGTGTTGATGGTTTGACTGTAAAATAACAATGAGGAGAAGAGACACATCATGAGTGCATAGCTGGGGCTGCAATAATCCACCTCGAGTTCTGGTACCGTGCTGCAATTCTCAGTTAAGAACTGAACCCCATTTACAGATTTCCATCCATGATCAGAGTCTTATTATGGATCTGACCAAAGCCTCTCCCATAAAAAAATGGGTAATATTAAATATATGTACATGGCCTAGGATACAGTTTGCATACTAACTGTTATTATGGAGGTGTTGAGACAAAGACTATGAATTACTTTCATTATAATGGGCCACTCACTATTTGTGATACACCATTCTGCCACACAGAAGCATCAGTTTTTTTAGGGACATGGCACGAGCTTTTCCACAGAAAGGGAGAGGATCAAGGCTTGATTCTTCAGTATATTACAGCTGTGGAAGAAATAAATCAACTATAGTTCTGTTAAAAAATATATCTGTTTTGATTTCATTTCCTCACTTTTCACACAAGGTAGGATTCTATCTTCACTTACACCTATTGTTTTTCATTTCCTACCCACAGAAATGCTGTTGTGGTTCTTTTGAGCACTGTCAGGGAAACTCTACCATCAATGAGCTCAGCCCAATTTTGTGTGCATAAATGAACAACCTTTCTTGGGTTTTGTGTGAAAAGTGCAATCTCTAACTCAACTGCTCCAAGATTTACTACTCATTTTGGGACTTTTAGATGAGAATTATCTGTGGTACTTTGATTTTTCAGAGAATGAGTTTACATATATCTTTTTTTTATCCCTGGAAAACAGGCAAGTGAGGTTGGAATTATGTTCTTTTCTGACTGTGATTTGTCAGTCTGACCTTGTATGAATTCTCAAGATAATCAGTGATTAGATGGGGTTAGTACAAACTTTTATCTTATTAAGATGTAAAATATCTCTTTCCACTGCTTTTCATCCTTTCTATCCTGCCTGTTCATGTTTGAACTATTGCTTTTTTCCATCCACAACACACTTTCTACTACTTCCATCCAACATATCCTAAGTTTCTAGAGCTCTTGGGAATTGGTATGAGCCAGAACTCATGGGCTGTACTACTCTGTCCCTAGATTTATGCAAGTCACCATGACCAACGTTAGGTAAAATTAGTGAAGTTTTGGTCTTTTCTGGGGCTGCATCTAATGATTTCAGAGAGAAGTTGTCCCTCCCAGCTAAAAGGGTGTTTTATTTTAATCAAAGCTAGTATCACTCTGTTTTCCCACATGAAAAACAGAGTGAAGCTGGGTAAGTCCAGCTACGCTCTTACCTGCTCACATTGAGTTTTAAAGTTTTTGAGAGGACAAAGTGAATCTGAAGGCCATTGGTGGGAGAGTGAGATTTGGCTGCAGGTCAGGCAAGGGTAGCTGTGGAGTGGCAGCAGGTCCTCTCTGGCTGGAAGCTAGAGGGCACCCAGGCTCTGCCTGCCTCCAGAGCCCTGGGAAGCATCTGCGTCAGTGCATCTGGGAGCCCTTTCTCTGCATCACGGGCCTTGTTTACCACAGTTCTGTACTGTTATTCCCTCTGGCCCTACGTGTTCTGAGCAGTGTTTCATAACATGGGAAGAAAACGACGACACAGCAACAGGGAGGGAAGGCACTTACCCAGCACACTGACAATCACAGATTTTTGACTCTGTCCAGCATCGCCCTGAGGGCTGAAAACTTCACAGGTGTAGGAACCAGTGTCTGAGGGCTGCATGTTGGAGATTGTTATTGATGCATTCCCTGGACCTGTTGCAGCTGTTATCCTGTTCTTAAATGCTCCATAGGAGTAAGACTGGCCTCCTGAATAATAATAGATCTGTGATAAAGAATCAATTGTTAGTTTAATGACAAGAGATCTTCTTGCTGCTTGCTTTGGTACTCATAAGATTGTTGATTTTTGATGAAGCCAAGCAGTGTCACCCCCTGTCTTGCCCCCTTTTCCCAAGAAAGCAGAAATAAAAACATGATACATTTGAATGTATATTTGTAATGGTTCTTAAAAGACAAGCTTTTCAGAAATGGCATTTTTAATTGTGTAATTGACAGTAACGAGATCGAAGCACAGACCGATGCATTTGCAAAACAAAGGTGAGACCATTGACCATCATATGACAATTCTATGAAAAAATGCTAAGTCCTGGACAGTGAATAGTGGTATCAATTGAAGTACCAGTAATTTGTGATATTATTAATAAGTGGCTCAACAGAAGGTTATGACAAGGATGGGCCTGTCATTGCAAAAACTGGGTGACAGTTCCCCAGTGTCTACATGCACAAACCAGGCAAAGTGAACAGTTCCAGCACACTCAGTCGTTTCTTCAAACTGGTGAGAGGTAACCATATAGAATTACAGGTTGTGACCCAAATGGATATACCATTATTCCTGCTGACATTCCAGAATCAGCAGTGTAAATGTATGTATTGAAGTTGAACTAACAGCATGTTTTTTAATTGAAATAGTGGGAAAATGCTTGTAGGAAAAAGCTTCACAGACTCCTCTGAAATGCCATTCACACCTGACTAGTATCAAAATTTTCTTTTGGTCAAAGTTCTCTGCCTTCTAGGGACACTGCAGATCCCTGGGCGAGAAGTATAATTTGCTTTACTTTGCAGATCAACTGATTGCATTTTGAATTAAGAATATTTATTCTTAATTCTATTTATCCACTCTGATATGGTGTTGACTGAAGTCTTTAAGCAATGTTATCTAAAAGCCTTTATTAGCTCAAGACAAGGTACACCCCAAAACTGTCAGAGCACAGCTGGTTTATGCAACGATATGGCTTTGAAATGAAGGTCAGAACCCAGGCTGCACAGCACCAGCAGCTCCAGGACTGCAGCTTGGCCCCATCTCAAGTGCAGTTTTGCATACTCCTCAGCCAGACTTTATCTTTCCCTGCCCCAGGATTACAAACACCAGGTACAGTTGATGCAGGGCTCTGAACACCAAAGCATTCCCAAGGTGTGGAATTCTGGTGTTGCAGTGAGGAGGCATAAGAGTTCCAGGGTTAGCACAGTGACAGACTCGGTTACAAAGTCTGCTGAACAGCTGGAGAGACCCCCTAGTTTCCATTATGTGCATGGGATACCATCAGTTTTCAAACTGATTTTATGCTTTGCAAATGTTTAGAGATGTATCTCTATTGCAGAACTAATGTCTGGATGCACACTCAGTGTATTCCCCAGGGAAGGAGAGTATTCAAATAGAGAGTTTGGTTTAAACAAATTGCTCATCAAAAACCTGGTCTGCCTGGAATTACAAAAACACACTGGCCACACTGGTCTCATTCTACATTTATCTGAGTATGAGCAACAACAGAGTGTTATTTATCACTGTATTAAGTTACAAGAACTGTGACTTCTGACTTCAGACTCCTCTTAAGCTGATGTCCCTAGATAGCTCTCAGCAGTGATGGGCTGGATTTCCATCTCCACTCCATCAACTGCACGTGTTGGAGCTTCCATCAGCTCTTTACACTAATGTGAAATTAGGTTCTACAATGATCTAAATGAAGTAATCTGTGTCTTACCACAGCATGAGAGGAGTGACAGGCCCTTCATACCCTACTAAAAGGCCTGATTGCTGGGAAAAGGCACTAAATTCTACTCAGTCTAACTCAGAGTGATGTGGGATTTATATGAGAGTAAAGAGTAGCAGGAGGTGCCCACTGAGAATTAGCTTAGCTACAGCACATGTTCCTGGGAAATAGGACTGGCATTGAGCCTGAAATGCAGTCAGGACATGCCAATAAACACAACAGAGGAGCAAGTGCTCCTCGGTATATTTGACCTGAAGTCAGGGCGAACTACGTGTTTAAGTCCTTATACAATGCACTGAGAAATGAATTCCCTGTGTTCTCTCTTTCTGATTGAATGAATGCAGGGAAAATATTTTGTGCACACTGCTAAATCTGAGGCAGGTGTCAACACAGCAGAGAATATTTTTTTTCTTCATAGATTTAAACAGAGTCTTTCTGGGTTGTTGGTTTTTTTTTTTCAAGTATGAACATAAAGGCAGTGGAACATCCTCAGGTAATGCATTCAGTTCCTCTGCAGGCTCCTGCCTGTTCTCTGTTCTGCTCCTGTTCGATGCTTATCTTGCTGGCTCTGGAGTTCATTGCCTGAAGGAAGGTGGTAAACACCAAAAAGGCTGACTAATGTTGTGATTAATTACTGAGTGTATATCTTGTCCCAGAGGTATGATTGGATTGTGTACACAGGAAATTTCATTTAAGAGGAACATGTTTTAGTTAATTGGCTGTGAATTCACAGTCCATTTTAAACAATACACTCAAAATGGCTATTTTAAACCCTTGTTCAAAGTGGGTTTATGCTGTCCTTGAAAATCTTGTTCCTGGCTCTCAAAAAACTGCAATTAAAATCTTTGCAAAAAATGTTTCTGTTCCAATTCAAGAGTAAAAAAACTTGTTTTCTGTTGAAGATATGGAAGACTATTTTTGGGCAACTGACAGTTTAATGTTTCCTCCTACAGACACACATCTCATTGACATTTCTTTCCATTTTACCTAAAATGTCTGTATGGAAAAACTGTATTTAGTCAATGGTAGACTTTTTCTGGAGGCCTTTTAATCTGATGTGATAAATATATTTTAAGTGCACCGTCTTGAATGCAAAAAAATACGAAAGAAATCTGTGCTTCTCTTGAAAAAATACACTTTTCATGTCCTGAAGCAAATCATGAGTAGCTCTAGTGTAGTCGATGATTTACCAGAGTAGAAACAATCTTGAGGGTGCAGTAATGGTTGCTGCTTCTCCTTACCAGCTAGTTTGCTCAGGCAAGTTTTTATATTAATGGTGCCTTTTCACATTCCGTGGCAGCAGCTGCCTGGGATGACTAATCAAACAACTGACTGCAAGAAGAGCGGAGATTATCACTCCTAAAACTGCTGTCCCTAATAACTTCACAATCTGAGACACCAGTTTCTGCAAAGCAGCCAAGTTGCCCAGAAAACATCTCCCTGACCTTAGAAAGCGTTGCAGTTCAGTCAGTTATTCAACCTGTGGGCCAGGCGGTGCCTGGAGCTGCTCTCAGGAGACATCCATCCTTGTGGGCTTCCTAAGGCAGTGATGCAGTTACTCTGCATTTCCACAGCCAGTTTCTGCTGCAGCCAAGAAAAGGATTTTGGCCCATAGTCTTCCAAGGCAGTTGAGTCCATTATTCATGTACCTGTTTGGGTCAGCTGGATTACAAACAGACCAGGGAATTGGGAATGATCATACTCATTTGGAAGAAAATCTTGGTAATCTCAATGCACTCCAGATGCTGGAGACAATATTATCTGTGTCCCAAATTCTGGAGGATCTGGTACATAAAATCACATGTGCTTTTCTTATCCTCTAGCCTGACTTGTGGAAAGGCTGCTCCTCTTCTAGAGAGATGGTGAGGAAAGTTTTTGCCTGCAGAGGAAGCAGTCGGCAAAGCTGATGCTGAGTTGAAGATTTTCAAAAGCTGCCAGATGTTTGGCAGCGTGTGAGGAACCCAACTGCAGGTTTTCTTTATACAAATTCTATAGAAATATCTTCCTTAGGGTGTGGAGGGGGCGTGTGAGAAAGCAGTCAGTAAATTAGGAGAAACATGCTTCCATCTGCTTCCTTTCTTCTCGGGACAGGACAAATATATACTAGGATTTGCATAAATATGTGTCTTTCAAATGTCTTTGGATGGACTCATTCATAACTTCCAGGTCAATACTCCTTCCATCCCCCATCTCCTGGAGTCACAGCATCACATTGCTGTACATGCCCCGTGCATATGGATATCAGAGCTATAAGATGAGATGTATTTGAAGATGTGTTACAAAATGTCCACTGAATCTCCACAGAACTTTTGACTTCCTGACTGGGGGGCAATTTCAGGACATGACTTCCTTTCCAACTCCCTCCCCCAGCCCCTTCTCCCTTTTCCCACCAGCACATGCAAAGCTGTAGCATCCTGTTCTGTGACGTTTCTCAAGGCTGATGGATTCAGTGTGTGACTCACAGTCTTTGCCTGGAGAGCTGGAAAGCTCAGGCATTCAGAGGGCCCCATCATTGGGTTGGTTTGTCATTTTCTGTTTGACATTTTCTCAAGCTACCAGAAAAAGAACTGTTAAAGTCTCTTTCTCACTGATAAAAGCACGGGAGGACTGGTTTGAGATCATGATCTCATTTTGAATTCTGAGGACAGACAGAATTTATAAAATAACAACAAGGTAAAAAATTTTCATCACTCCCCTAAGCATCTTACCATCTAATTAGAGAACAAATGCCACGCACTGAGAGTGTTAATGAAGGCCCAAGGCTCAGGTTCTGAACTTGAGTAGATAAGAAAGGAAATGCTTACACGTGCATCGGTTTCTTTGACAGTGTGTCACATGATTTGGTCTGGGCCCAAATGCCTTATTTCATCCACAGCTTCTTTTCACACATTTTTGCCAAAACTCTGATCTGCCAGAAGGTAGTAGGGATATTATGTCCTGCATTACTGGGGTTTTTGCATGGATAATCAAGGGTGTTAACAGTGACTAGAAGTGTCTTGTTGCAATAGCGTATTAGTAGAAGAGAAAAGGGAGGGAGTCAGAAGCCTTTAGAGGATTAATCATTCAGCAGCTTTAACTGGTGAAGAATACTTTTGAGGAGCAGCTCTTTGATGTTCTCATAGTATTGTTCTTGGGGCTGAACTATTAGTAAATAATTCCTACAGTGCATCAAGCACAAACATGTTTTCTCAGTGCCTTTGGTGTAACTGCTCTTCAGCAGTTATTATTAGAGCTCAGTTTGCACTGGGTTGTGCCCTGCACTTCATGGTGAGACAGG